AAAATACATACCTGTCCTTTGATGAGATTCCCTTCGGCGAGCTGTGGTTTTGGTAAAACAAAAACTGGCGCGGGTTTTTCGACCGGCTCATTGGACTTCGTCTTTTGTGCAGCTTTTTTCTTTTTCTTTTCCAGAGCTTCCTCTTTCCGTGCAGCTTTTTGGATTTCTTTTTTCACTATTTGCGACACATCCTCCACAGCAACACTTTTCTAAAAAAAAATATTTTTTTGATTTACCATCTGTAAAAATATTGTCAAATTCTTGAATTTTTCAAAAAAAACTTTTCTGTCACAAAAAATACAAAAAAAAACGAACGGTTGCGGTACAAATCTCTTCCTTCTCATCCGTTTTTTTGTGTTCTTTCAATATTCGCTTAGTCGCTTTTTTTGCTCGATATTGTAGTCCAAGTCGTTGTAGCAGGAACGGTACTTCATGTTGCCAATTTGGATATTGAGCACGAAATTTGTCTACACACTCAACTATCGCTCGATGGCATCCCAATTTAAACAAAACCCGTTCTTTAGCCGATTTTTTGCGCTGAAATTTGATGCTCTGAGAGAAAAAAACGGATGAAAATCCTGAAAAAAAAAAAACTCGAAGACATTACTCGCCAAAGAGCGCGCTGCAACAATAAGTAGCTTTGTCTTCGTTCTCAATGTCAAGAACTCGATTCTGCTAGTAAAATAACTAGTCTATCTGCGATTCATTCACTTTTTCGACTGTAAACTGGTAATGGTATATATTAAAGGAGTCAAAAACCGCCATCAGCTTACTTCTAAACGATCCTTGGAAAAGAGATGTTGAAAGCCTTACTGTTGGCATTTTCTATCAGTCGAACTAATCTCGAGTGCCTCCAATCTTCGAGGAAAATAAATACGGAAAGGTTTTGAATTCGGTATTATTACTCACATTTTCAATTTAACACAAACATAGTATGACTCCAGTAACAGTAAAAAATACACAAGAAAGTAGGAAGGGCAGTACGGGCCGTAACGGCCCTATGAGCATCATATTAAGAAAAAGCTATAAACAGCCGGCGAACAGGACTGCAAACAAAGGCCAATATACTCAGGGGCAAAATAGGAAGGCCAGTACGGGCAGTAGAGGCCCTATCAGGCTAATATTAATAAAGACTATAAGCAGCCTGCTGAAACTTCAAAGTATTTCAAAAAAAACGTACATTTTTTAGCAGATCCTCTAATGACTTTGTGTTGACAAGCGCGAATTTTGCAATATCATCCCGAGGTAACTTCTAAAATCATATTTATGACAGTGATTTCGGCAATCGGACGGAAAAAATAAACAAAAATAACATTGAAATGAGCGA